AAGTTGCCCTGACCGGTTTGGCTCGGTGGATAGAGCATCAGCCTGCAGACTGAAGGGTCCCAGGTACGATTCCAGTCAAGGGCATGTACCTTGGTTGTGGGCACATCCCTGGTAGAAAGTGTATCCTATAGGTTTTGCATAATGATGTCTACAGTTAGCATTTATGTACCATCATCAGTTACAGACTTCACAATTAAAGCTTTTATAAAAATGTTAGTTTTTTATATATATAATAAGACATCCCCTGAAAATAAGACCTAGCGCAACTTTGGGATAAAAAAATTAATATAAGAGACTGTCTTATTTTCGGGGAAACAGGATATATATATATATATATATATATATATATATATATATATATATATATATACACACACACAGACACACACACACACACACACACACACATATATATATATATATATATAGGATTTTTTGCCACAGTTTCTTGCAATTGCTGTGATTTGAAGCTATGTTACTTATGGCAGAAATCAAAATAGCAATCTGTAGGAGTGAGCTTATAGATTTGGCCTCCCCAAGACCAGTCAACAGCCAGGCATTTAAATCCCATAGCAACCACGGTTTAGGCACAAAGGAGTCCTGATGATGCTCGTTAGCGACCTTGTTGTGACAGAATCCTGTCCAGTTTATCTTATTCCATAGCACCCTGGACTCTTTAATCACCTATGAAACCTCTCTTTTCTAGGCCCGGATGTACTTTCGTGTTTTGATGGGTGCTCAGAGGGCATGAAGCGTCTGTCTCAAGAGAGCTGCCTGGGGCTGGTGGGTGGTGTGCCTGCGTGTTGTTTTGATGGAGGATAATTTATGGGGCATGGGAAAAATAGGTCGGTCATTGTCACCGGGCCTGGACTCATGGTGGCGAGGACAAGTGCAAATTGCACCAAAGCAATTGCTCTCCAAGAACGCTCTGTCTGTTTTGTCCCCAATCAAATGTGACTCCGTCTTTTGTGCTTCTCTCCTCCAACCTTAATAGCTTATTTCACATACTCTGTTTTTAAAAATATGTTTTTTATTGATTGCAGAGAGGGAGGGAGAGGGACAGAGAGATAGAAACATCAGTGATGAGAGAGAATCATGGATCGGCTGCGCCCTGCATGACCCCTACTGGGGATCCAGCCTGCAAACCAGGACATGTGGCATGACCTCTTGGTTCAGAGGTCAAAGCTTAACTACTGAGCCACACCAGCCGGGCTTCACATACTTTATTTCATCAGCCATGTTTCTCCTTTCTCCTAATTTACATTTCACAGTTATATTGCTTATTTTGGGCATGGTTTCATGGATATATCTACTAGAAACTTAATATTGTTTATAATCATCCTCTTTATCCTCATGTTTCAAAGATCACCTCTCCTCCTGAAGTAGAATCTCTGGAGAGTTAAAACAAACAAACAAAAAAAATGCAATCCTAGGATAAATGATTATAATATTATAGTTAAATGATGGGGAGTGGAGCTAGAGAAAATAGTTTTCAGCATAAAGTCATTTGCATAGATAAATAATTCAACAATTCTTCTTCCCATTGAGTTAGTATTTGATTTGTTTTTTGTACTTTTGAAGTGAAAATATGAGTCATCTTGGCATTGGTTATTTATCATGAACTATTTTAAACTTCCATTAAATGGTTGGAGCAGGTTCAAGAGACATTGACAATGTCAACTGTATTTTAAATCATGATATTAATTGTGTGTAATGCACCAAGGACAGTGTTTATTGTTTTGTAGAGATGCTTGGAAATTTAGCATTGATACGTTCCTGTACTTTTCACTTGAGTACATAGAGTTTCATAGGTGAATGTGCACTACTCTCACAGGATTTACTATAAATAATAAAACAATTTTAAAAATTAAAGCCTTTGTTACTGAAATAGGTTTATATCAATATGCCCATTTTATTTTAAAATGCCTCTTGTATTAGCAATGTGTTTGCAAATCAATTTCTAAATTCAATATTAAATCCCAGGAATATTGCAGGATACAGAACTAGGAATACATCAAAATTGCAGTTTGACATTCAGTGCTTAGTAAAATTGCTGAAATAAGAATGAATGACTAACAGAAACAAATAAATGGTGAGAATATCTTCAAACTCAATATTCCCATTTGAAAGAAACAGGTTATATAATTATATAATTTTTAATTAGTCAATGTAATTAATAATCATCATCTATAATAATAAAAGCATAATATGTGAATTAGACCGGAAGACCTTCCAAACGACCTTCTGGACAAAGCCAGGGCTATAAGGGAAGCCCGGGTCCTGGGTGCCAGAAGGAAGCCAGCAATGGCAGCCAGGGGAAGGAAGGCCTACTCTTGCATGAATTTTGTGCACTGAATCTCTAGTATAATATATAATTATATACCAATTGATATTATGTGATATAGTTATCACATATATTTAATTATAACATATCTAAAATTTATATGTATATATAAAATTTTTTTAGTATCATCATATGAGATAATAATTAATTTAACATACATACTATATAATATACATGATTTATGTAATTGCATGTAAGTTACATATATATTTTAGTATCAATATTTTCTAAAACTTTTGTTAGTTCAATAGCTTTCAGTAGATGCAATTGTAAAAGATCCTACATCCCTAGGAGCAGAAACAAGCATACTGCTTTAGGATATAATAGGAACTAATCAACACATGTTTGACTTTTTCAGAAGTCTAATGTAGAGTCATATAAAAATGGGTGGGAATCTCTACTTCAAAGCACTAATAAATTAATACTCGGAATAAAAGCCAGCTCATTTGGTCTTCAAAGTATAGGCACAAGCACATTTATAGAACTATTTATTGTTCGTGACAATGACCTCAGATAGAACTCTATTTTAATAGACTTGTAGAGCAATTTAGGCCAATTAAATTGTGCTTTATTGTAACTTTATTGCATTATGGGGGAGGGGAGAGAGAGATATAGATAGAGAGAGAGAGAGAGAAAGAGAGAGAGGGAATGAGAATGCATTAGATTGATCAAGGCAAGTAAAGTTTCAAACACTGAGGTATGGAGCTTCGAAAGCCAGTGTGATTTCTGAATGGGCATTTGACTTATGAGTCGGAGGTTCAGGCCCCAGGTCCAGCACTCATGTCCTTACATGATACCCTGTGGGCTGGCCAGTCTTCCTGGGCTCTAGGGACCAGTTTGAATGGTGAGATTTAAAATGGTGAGGTTTAAAAATGTACATAGGCTGGCTCTGCTATATTTTCTTAGAAATTTCCGTTAAAAAAGTTTAATAAGTAGACATCAGAATTGTTTTTGTAATAAAGATTTCTAACTAAAAAGGAAATAGTTACTAATTTTTGAATGCCTGCTATGTGCCAGGTGCTCTGTGTAATTCTGAATAGGAAGCTTACAGTTAAATAAGTAAAGTTAATGTAAAGAGAGGATTGCAGAGTCGTTTTATCATTGCCACAATGAAACGTAAAGAAGACTTTATGATAAGATAAATGCGTAATGCCTGGACCGGTTTGGCTCAGTGGATAGAGCATCGGCCTGCGGACTGAAGGGTCCTGGGTTCGATTCTGGTCAAGGGCATGTGCCTTGGTTGCGGGCACATCCCCAGTGGGGGGTGTGCAAGAGGCAGCTGGTCGCTGATTTTCTCTCACCGCTGTTTCTAGCTCTCTGTCCCTCTCAATTCCTCTCCGTGTAAAATCAATAAAATATATTTAAAAAAAAAAAAAAAGATAAGTGCGTAAGGTATTGAAATACTGCAAATGCTGTGAGTCCTCAAGTGAAAAATGCAAGAACTTGCCGAAAACAGTTTGGCTCAGTGGATAGAGCATCAGCCTACAGAGTGAAAGGTACAGGTTTAATTCCAGTCCAGGGCATGTACCTGGGTTGCGGGCACATCCCCAGTAAGGAGTGTACAAGAGGCAGCAGATCGATGATTCTCTCTCATGGATGTTTCTAACTCTTGATCCCTCTCTTCTTCCTCTCTGTAAAAAATCAACAAAATATATTTTTTTAAAGTGCAAGAGCTAAAGTTCCTTTCATCCCCACACAATAATAAGCATTGCACTTGATGCATTATACACAGTTAATATCATAATTTAAAATATGGTTGACATTGCCAATGTTCCTTGAACCTGCTCCAACCATTTAACGGACGTTTACAATTGTTTCTGATTGCCATGCGGGTAACAGGGTAAGTGGAAGCAACACAGAAGAGTTTAGACTTTGTTGTCATTATAAAAGAGGGGATATTTGTGGATTTTTAAGCAGAAGAATAAAATACTTAAGTCCGTTTTTAGACAGTAGCCTGGTCAATAGTTCTGATTTATTGAGGAAAAATGAACCAACAGAAAACAATTCTTTTGGAAAAAAAAAAAAAATATATATATATATATATATATATATATATATATATATTATTGATTTTTTACAGAGAGGAAGGGAGAGGGATAAAGAGTTAGAAACATCAATGAGAGAGAAACATCAATCAGCTGCCTCCTGCACATCCCCCACTGGGGATGTGCCTGCAACCAATGTACATGCCCTTGACCGGAATCGAACCTGAGGCCTTTCAGTCTACATGCCAACGCTCTATCCACTGAGCCAAACCAGTTCGGCAAAAAACAATTCTTAATATGAGTCAAAACTTGCTCTATACCTATAGGAGCATGCCTTGTCATAGCTCCTATAGGAGCTAAAACTGATGAACTTCTGTGAGGGATGCTTTTGACCAAAGCAGGCATCCTTGATTCCCAGGAGACGTATGCCTGGCCCAAGGGAAGAAAGTGGGACGAAAGACAAAGGGAGTCACCTGCCTGCTTTGTGTCCGGAGGTGTGGATGGTTGCTGGGGATCAGATCCTGGACCATTCAGTGATGTTTCCTGTCCCATGATGCTGTCCTTCTGGACAATTCCATTGAACCCAGAGAGCATGGTCAAGTCTGACTTACATAATAAAATTGGTGTGTGTGTGTGTGTGTGTGTTTTTTTGTTTGTTTTTTTTTTGACAGGTAACAGAAACACGGACGGGTCCCTTGGGCTGCAGTAACTATGACAACCTAGATTCTGTCAGCTCCGTTCTGGTCCAGAGTCCTGAGAATAAGATTCAGTTGCAAGGTATGTAAGTAACGTTCACTCTACATGGGCCTTCATGGCAACTATCCCATCTCGACGACTTTCTTCTTTGCTTTATCAGCCCTGTGCGCAGTGCTGGGCTTTTAAAATTCTCCTAAAAGGCCAGCCTCCTACATTTTGAGCAGATAGGAACATTCTAGACAAGATGAAGGAAATGTCAAAATTCACTGTACTTCTTAAATGATCTGTAGCGATTGAAAATTTTTCATGGTAGTATTTTACTTCCTTATAGTTCTCACTGTAGCACTTTTTTCATAGGTCTGCCTGAGCTTTGTATTTTTTTCTTTTTTTAAAAAAATAATATATTTTTATTGATTTCAGAGAGGAAGGGAGAGGGAGAGAGATAGAAATGTCAATGATGACAATCATTCATTGGCTGCCTTCTGCACACTCCCTACTGGGCATCGAGCCTGAAACCCGGGCATGGTCCCCCGACTGGGAATCAAACAATGACCTCCTGGTTCATAGCTCAACGCTCAGCCTCTCACCATGTTGACCAGGCAGCTCTGAATGTTTTCTTGTAGATTCTGTAAAAGTTGTAAACCTATTTATGGTATAATATGAACTGTTGACATTTTAAATATAAATATATATGGCTGTCATGGCTACATTTATCTTCCCACAAACAGGAATGTACTTGGGACTACATCTTGATATTTATATCTTTCCACTATAAAGATAGATTTTGTGATAATGCTAGTGATTTGCCATCTTTTTCTCTTTGAAATAATTTAATAGAGGGTTTTAAAAAAATAATAATTTTTAACAATCCTATATTGTTTCTGAAATGCTCGTGAGTATGCATATTATTCATTCAGGCAGGGAAAGGTTATGAATAAACATGCACTAGTTTGAATAAGTCCAGGAAAGTCTTGATGTTGGCAGATTGTCTAACTTCTGCCCAGTGATCAAAGGAGTAATTCTGAGTTGTTCTTTTCTGGTCTGCCTTCTGTAATTGCATAACTCAGAACTGTATTTACATATTCGATTTACACCAAAATGCATTTTTTCTCTCAATGCTAATTCTTTGCTTTTTATTAAAAGTACCTCATAGATAAAGATTCAGGGTCAAACATTGACTTTTTTAAATAAAGGAAATGTAAATGTAAAAATCCAGTTTTACAGTAAATAACAACTATGTATAAGTCAAATTTTCCCTTACTGTTATGTTTATTTTCACCTACTGATTAGTTTGAATGTTTAGGCTTCTTATTAAATTTTCCTATGTAGCAATAAATGCTGGAAGTGAAACTATATTCTTTAAAAATACTTTTTATTCATTTTAGAGAGGAAGAGAGAGGGAGAGAGAGGTTGAAACGTGATGAGAGAGAATCATTGATAGGCTGCCTCCTGATTGCTCTAGCCAGTGTTGCTCAGTGGATAGAGCATGAGTCCTGGACAGAAGGTTCCTGAGTTTGATTCTGGTCAAGGGCAAGTAGTTTGTAGGCTGGATCCCTGACCCTGGGGTGCTAACAAGAGGTAACCAATCAATGTGTCTCTCTCACATTGATGTTTCTCTCTCTGTCTTTCCATCTCCTTTCCACCATCTCTAAAAATCAATAGAAAATATCCTCGGGGGAGGATTAACGAACAACAACAATAAGAACAACACAAAAGAAAGTACTGAAAACTGTTAGAAATCAAGCTGTGCAGAATAAACACCTGCCTTCCTTTTCATCTACCAGCAATGTAGATTCTACATGAGGGGGAAAATAACCAAACATTCTCTCTCTCTCTCTCTTTTTTTTTTTAAGATCAATTTTTAAAAATATATTTTATTGATTTTTTTTACAGAGAGGAAGAGAGAGGAATAGAGAGATAGAAACATAGATGAGAGAGAAACATCGATCAGCTGCCTCCTGCACACCTCCCATTGGGGATGTGCCCACAACCAAGGTACATGCCCCTGACCAGAATCAAACCTGGGATCTTTCAGTCCACAGGCCAATGCTCTATCCACTGAGCCAAACTGGTTTTGGCAAAAAATAACCAAACTTCTCAACAAATAATCCAGAGAGCCCATCAACTAAGTTCAAAACACAAAATCAGATAGTCTGAGGGATAGAGTGCATCTGTAATTACTGGGATTCTTGCACAGTGTGTGGAGTCAGCATAGGTGCAAAGAGTTATAAATATTTGCGATTTTGTGAAGTTAGACATTATTTTCAGGGATGGTGTTCAACATACATGAATCCATATCTCCATATACTGAGTTTTCTTTGTTGTTGTTGTTGTTTTTGTTTTTTACCTTTTTGGCTATCTATATATATAAAAGGCTAATATGCATAATGTCCCCTCAATCACTTGCTATGATGTGCGCTGACCACCAGGGGGCAGCACGAAATGAAGGAAGGCCCAGATGAGTCCTTACCACTGGCCAGGCCCAGAGACCCTACATGCATGGGGCCTCTAGTTGTAAATATGTGTAAGCTCTTTTTTCTTCATCAAAGCAAACCTGTCTGCCATGTTTGTTCTTTAAGGCCTGCAGGCACTGCTCCCAGACTACCTTCAGGAGCGTTTTGTCCAGGCAGCCCTGAGCTACATCGCCTGCAACTCCGAGGGCGAGTTCATCTGCAAGGACAATGACTGCTGGTGCCAGTGTGGCCCCAGATTCCCAGAATGCAACTGCCCCTCCATGGACATCCAAGCCATGGAAGACAATCTGCTTCGGATCACCGAGACCTGGAAAGCCTACAACAGCGACTTTGAGGAGTCAGGTGAGACCCGGGTTTTAATGCCTTGTTGCCATTCGCCCAAGGAACTGCTGTGCTGGAAAGACCATGTTGCCTGTTTGGAAGAACTATTACATTCTTTTTTTTTTTTTTTAATTTTATTGATTATGGTATCACATAATTGTCCTCATCCCCCCATTCCCATCCCAAACCCCTCCCCAAATGTGCTCTCCCACCCCCCTGTTGTCCATGGCCACTGGCTAGGCCCATATGCATACACACAAGTCCTTTGTATGATCTCTGCCCCTTACTCCCCACCCTTCCTTACTTTCCCTCTGAGGTTTGAGAGTCTGATCTCTGCTTGTCTTTCTCTGGGCCCCTTTGTGTTCATCAGTTTATGTTGTTCATCATTTCCTCTAGATGTGTGAGGTCATGTGATCTAAGAAATACCCTAGTAAGAACCAAAACTGCCTCTCAGCATAACTTTTACATTCTTGGGATGGATTTTCCTTACATTTTCTTCTTCTTCTTCCAAATGGACATGGGGTTGCTTTCATTGATGGTTATTTGGTATTTCATGGAAAACACGTGTGGTGCTGTGTGTCTTTCTATGTGTTTTCTGCATTGGGACCGAGCTTGCTTTTGAGCTCACAGATGCGTCATCTTGTTGCTTTCATCAATATAAGAATTGATTGTGTGACATCTCTGATACCTCACTGGATTTTTCCAGTGGTCCCTGAGTTTTCTGACACCTTCCCTGGTTCTGTGAATTCGCTGGGTACACGATCTTCATTTCCCAGTGACCACAGACAACAGTTTGACCAGCTACTTCCACACAAGGAGGATTGCCCTCATGCCAGCCTTTGCGAGAGTGTCCTGGACACACCCACCATCCACCACAACAAAGTCTTAGCTTTCCTCAGCACAGGCCCCCCCCACTCTATTTCCAGCCCCCATTGCTGTCTTAAGCCAAGATCAGCTTGGCAGTGCTATAATAGCAAACTCCCCTGGCATCTCAGATATAAGCTCCGTTCATTTCTTGCTCAGACACAAGTCCACCCAGGTGAACGGGAGTCTGCAGCTAGATTCAGGCTGTAGAAATGTTCTTTCTGGAATGATTCGGGGATGAAGGCAGTAGAAAGAAAGCAGTAAGTCAATGCTGGCTCTTATTTGACTTGCCAGGAATTTATTAAGATCACTTTTTATGTTCAAGTCTCATTTCAAAGTAGACAGAGAGTTGCCATTTTGCGGTGTGCCTGGAAGAGAAGATGACCCAGAATGTTGGTGGACAGCCAACGTGCCAGCCAGTATTGTTTTTTCAGAAACAGACAACTAAAAACATCATATTCTATGCCATCTCACCACGTGATCTTAGGTGGGAATATGTGATTTAGTCTTGGTATCTGTAGTTTCACAGTCCGGGAAAGGCAATGTAGAGACACATTCAACCCACTGTGGCCATCATTTTGTCAAAACTAAGTAGGTGAGCATAAGATAAACAAACTTTATTAGTAGCAAGCCATGTGCTCATTCATAAGTCATTTAATCTCTTAAAATGTCTGCTATCTCATTTGTTATTCAGATACCTTATTTAGCTTAGAGGAACTAAGCTCAATTCAAAATTAACCACCACATATACTAGTAATATTGCATCCTCATGAGTGAAGATCTTTGGCCATCACGTACTTATATGGGGATTGGTAATTAGAATATAGGAATGAGCTTTAGTCCTAACTGGTTTGGCTCAGTGGATAGAGCCCAGGCCTGTGAACTGAAAGGTCCCAGGTTTGATTCTGGTCAAAAACATGTACCTTGGTTGTGGGCACGTCCCCAGTGTTTGGGAGGCAGCTGATCGATGTTTCTCTCTCACCAGTGTTTCTAACTCTCTATCCCTCTCCCTTCCTGTCTGTAAAAAATCAGTAAAATATATATTTTTTAAAAAAGAATATAAGCTTTAAATAATACAAATCTCCAAAGAAGATTCTCGAAATATCTATGTAAGTTTTAATTTACTGTGATAATCTGCTCAGTGGCTCTACTGAAATTTACAGGTATTCCCAGCACGAGTCAATGTTCAGCTTTCATACTAATATATCAAAACCAATTTGGTTTTCATTTCTGTTTGCTGTCATTGGTCAGTGTGTCCACTCTAATTCATCAATGCCTGGCTGTATCCTATTTAATGTATTATGAATATCACCTTTGCCATCACCAAATTTTATCTTGTATTTCAATTAATTTCCTAACATCATCTGAACGAAGATGGCTGAAGAGTCAGGCAGTTGTCTTATGCAAGGATTCAAGATTTAGCTCCCAATGGGATTTCTGCCAAACGCTATAAACCACCTCTCCTCTTTGCCTGATGTATTTCCGTTCCCAGATCAGGGCCGATGTCCCAAATACCTGTAAAGGGTTGAATGTTTTCTTGAGGGCAGAAAACAGCATATTTATTTTTTATTTTTACTTAATTTTACTAATTTCAGAGAGGAAGGTAGAGGGAGAGAGAGAGAGAGTTAGAAACATCAAAGATGAGAGAGAGAGTCACTGATTGGCTGCCTCCTGTATGTCCCCTACTGGGGATGAAGCTTACAACTCAGGCTTGTGCCCTGACCTGGAATCGAACCTTGACCTCGTGGATCATAGGTCGACACTCAACCATTGAGCCACACCAGCCAGGCCAGAGTATTTCATTTTATCATTACATGAAAAGTAGTAAACTGCTCTCTATTTAGTAGGCACGTTGTACAACACAATATATGTTGATTGATGGATGAATGGGATCAAATATATGCACAGCTGTGCTTGATCTTTTCAACTGGCATATTCAAAGGGGAAGCACTAAGAACCAAAAATACTTTACCTGTTATTGTTTTGTTTGTTTAGCTAAGGATTGTGGGGGAATTAGGCGGGGGGGGGGGGATCTTTTTTTTTTTCCATTGCTCGGATCTGAAGAGCATGAACAATAAGGCGATTGATTACATATAGTGCTTTTTCCATTACTTTGAATGTATTTATTGAGAAAAGTTATCTCTCTATAGATGTTTGTTTTAATGCTATCAGAGCTGGTTGGTATTCCAATCCATAATTTGGTCAACTGTCAAGGTTAGTTGGAAACAAATCATTTATCACTTTGATTCAGTATCTCCAAACTAACATAAATGGGACCTTCTTCAGTGTTTTATTTTTATTTCTTTCTGTGTTTTAATGTCAGGGTTTTTTTGTTTGTTTTGTTTTTAATGTAGACAAACTATAGCAGTGGTTGGCAAACTACAGCTTGCCAGCCACATGCGGCTCTTTGGCCCCTTGAGTGTGGCTCTTCCATAAAACACCACGGCCTGGGCTAGTCTATTTTGAAAAAATGGCATTAGAAGAAGTTTAAGTTTAAAAAAATGTGGTTCTCAAAAGACATTTCAGTCGTTGTCCTGTTGATATTTGGCTCTGTTGACTAATGAGTTTGCAGACCACTGAACTATGGTGAAGGAAGATTAATGACTAATACTATATATTCAGAGCATTTTTACATGTGTGCATATATGACACACTGACACAGACAACAGCATGCATATAGCATCCACCACGTGGCTAAAGGGCCAGTCACAGAGAGTCTCCTTTCATGTTTGCTGTCTTGCTAGTATGACTTAGCAGTGAGTCCTGAGGAGAAAACGGCCCTTCTGCTGGCAGCAGTCAGCACCTCATTTAAGGAGCTGACAAAGTGTGAGCGGAAAGATCTGGAAGTTAATTGGCAGCTAAACAAATGTGTGGCGTTATGTCAGCTCGTCAGGTAGCTGTGCTCTGTGAACTCCGAGCAAACATCTCTCTGGAAGGTTGGCCACATTTGTCGCCCTGGCTCTGCAGGATAACACACACACCCAGGAGCGAGACCAATGCCCCCAAGCACCGGGGAGCTCCAGGACGTGTCTTACCTCATGAAACAGGGGCCCTCGTGTCCAGTTTGTCCAACCTCCTGCCTCGTGGAGAACCCTCTACTATACACAGAGTGGAGCTGGTTATTTCAATCCTGTTTGCAGGGATGGGAGCTCTGTGATCACAAAGCCCAGGAGCAGGAGTTGGAGCCCTGTCCTTAGAAGGTGACTCTTGCCCTGGCTGGTGTGGCTCAGTGGATAGAGCACCAGTCTGAAGACTTCAGGGTCTTGATTCCGATCAAGGACAGTACATTGGCTGGAGGTTCCCCATCCCTGGTCATGGTGCATGCAGGAGGCAACCAATCGATGTGTCTCTCTCACATTGATGTTTCTCTCTGTCTCTCCCTCTCTCTTCCACTCTCTCTAAAAATCAATGGAAAAATGTCCTCAGGTGAGGATGAACCAAAGATAATAGAGAGAGATGACTCTTGTTTATTTTGAAATTGTATTTATTCCTCACTTTTCATGCAAAAGTAGCATGATGTTGCCGTGTGCTAAAATATTTGTGGCTCTAACCTTTGTCCAATATGTGGTCTTCCTCTCCATATGCATGCAATGTCCACTCCCTCTTCCAGGGGGCAGCCTTCAGGTGTTTGCATAATTCTCCTCCCCTGTGTGTGTTAACAAATCCCATATTCCCATTCTCTCGGGTGACCCTTATTTCTAACCCATTGACCTACCTTGTCTTGGAATAATTTTCAGAGGAATTCAAAACTTAATAAAACATAGTGCTATTAATGGGGATTCTTTAATGCTACAGAAAACAATTGTCTTTATTCTATATATTATGCAGACTAAGAATCAATTAACTTTTTGGCAGCTGTGTCATATTGTTCAGACATATTGAGTTGTGATTAAAAAAAAAAAATTAAATAGCCCAGCTGGTGTGGCTCAGTGGTTGAGGGTTGACCCATGAACCAGGAAGTCCTGGTTCAATTATTGGTCAGGGCATGTGACCGGATTGCTGGATCTATCCCCAGTGAGGGAGCATGCAGGAGGCAGATAATCAGTGATTCTCTCTCATCATTGATGTTTCTCTTCCTTTTCCTTCCTCTCTGAAATAAAATAAAATTATAAAATAAAAATAAAGGGAATACTCAAATACTCCCACAGCAGAACAAT